CCCTCCTCCCACCACAAACGGGGTCCTCCATCATCTCCGCCGATCCACAAAGGGTCCGCGAAACATCGATGGTTGAGAACCACTGGTTTAGACCAAAAACGCAGTCGGAGTTGTGACATTAAGCAATGCAAAACGTCACGCTTGCATTGCTTAATGTCACAACTCAGACGGCGTTTTTTTTTTTTGTCTAAACATATGTTTTGGCATGGTCATTCGCAGAGCTGCTTCCGTAAGTTGCGGTGATTGGCTATCCGAGTGTTGTGCGGGAAAGTAGACGCACGTTTTTGTTTAGAGTGCAGGAGCCGCGTAAGCACGAAATGAGTTGGTCCGTCAGTCTGTGACCGCTAAACCATCCTGGAAAAAAAAAAAAAAACTGCAACCGGTGCCGGGGATCGACCACGGTCACCGGCGTGGAAGCGGAGTGCGCTGCTGACTGAGCTACGGACCCAGCGCGCAGGAACGGGAGGAGCAGAAGAAGGCGGTGTGACAAAGTGCGTGGAGGGGGAGAGGCGTGGGAAGGATAAGAAAGATTGGAGCAGACACAGGTGGTGTAGAAAGAGCGCGCGGAACGAGGACTGGAAAGGGCGAAAAAGTTCGCTTCCCCTCTCTCGGTGACCAACAAACTTCAACGCAAATCATTTCTATCCGCGTGGGTTGAAGTGAAGCGCGCATAGCGTCACGAAAAGAGAGAATGGTGTGACGTAATTTGTATCCATACGAAATCCTACCCTGTACATAAACTGAGCTAAAAGCACGACCCACCCCAGGCACTGGAAGATTAAGTGTCATCCTGCCCTAGGAACCACCCGAACTAAGAGCACCACCCACCCTATAAAACTACAGCATTCAAATGCATTTAACAGAATGACCAAACATGCAGGCAATTCTTCATCCACTGTGGCCAGACCAGCTTCTTAACCGTGGCTGCTTGAGACCGTTTATAGAAACTGAAATGAGATACAACCGACAGAGAAGCTGCGGCTTCGCTATCACACGATCAAAACGAGTGAAAGACCGTGCACCCTGTGTACAAGAAAAGGACGAGGAGGAGGGACCGTTGCGTTTTGGGACCCCACACAGGGCCATTTCCCCGGACATCAGCGGCGGGAGTTTGCCCATCATCCCGCTGGAGGATGTGACCTCAAGGTCAATCGAGAAGCGACCTCTTGGCGCTTTTTTCCGTTCGCGTCCGAAGCAGTCAGCACCTCTGGGCCACGAACTCTTCACTTTTTACTCACGCGAAGCGTCATGCCGTTTCCCATGGTTTCTTGTTATGCTTCCGCTTGTCTAACTGGCAGCGACCGGATGCCCATTTGTAAATTCCACTTTAGTGCACCCTTCCCCTTTCAATACATATGTATTTGACATATTGCATATCTGTGCCGGCTTAGTAGAAATCAAGGGAGAAAACATTTTGCTCGAGTCTTGAGGCCACTTGAAAGAAAGCACTGTCATGATTATTGCCCGAGCAGACTAATTATTGCCCGAGCAGACCTGCACAACGCATTGAGGGGCAGGATCGCAAATATGATAGTATTTGCAATACGAATTTTATATTTTGCGGTTATTTCGCAATTTGTGTATAATTACATATCGGAGAAATCATTCGGAAAGCTATTTTTGTACAATTTAATTAAATATAATTTCGGGCCTCCTTTCTGTGACGCAAGTCGCAGGGCGTGACTGTTGTTGCACTTGTCTAAATTACATAATATAAATTGCCATGTGAAAGTTTCGATTGCCTTTTTGTATGTGATTGTCCAATCATGCACCCACTCCATGTCAGTCAAGTCCTGGTATTATTTTACTCTGAAATAGCTTCAGAGATGTAAAATGTTTTGAAAATGACGCATTACCTTCCGTTGTATGGGTAGTTGGATTGTTTAAATACGTTTTTGAACATGCAGTTGCACTAAAAAATGTACTTTGTCGAAGGGATTTGTATTTTTATTTTGATATATCTTAGGATATATGTTGCTCATTCGTGGTACGCATGGATAGTGCAGCCGTCAAGCGGAGAGCTCTTAATTACTAGCATCTACTATGCTATTTTTAGTCTGTCTGATTAAGAAAAGATGCTTTAGTAGTTTGGTCATGACCAAGGTGGTTCTAGATGTGCACCCCTTCCGCTGAATGCAATCGAGCTTCTAGAACTTCATCTTATATTATAAAGCTTGTTTTTCTCGGCAGGCAGCAGGCGGTTAGTGAGGGCTGTGGGCACCCTGGCGGCTCCCCAGCCCAGTTGCCCGACAACGGGGCACAGGTGGCGAACGTTCCTTCGTGGCGGCGGAGTCAAGCCGACCACGCAAGGCGGATCAGAGGCGGCACAGAGGCAGTCGCTGCCTGGACTCAAGCGCCGGTGGTAACAATGTTAATGTATTGATCGCCTCTTCCATGTCCAATTCAATGTATTTCTTGTTGTTCGTTGGCTCCGTGTTATTGCTCGGGGTCGAATATGCAGCAAGGCAAATCGATCACAGGGTGAAACTAATAAGGTTAAGTAAACTAAACCAAACATGTTTATATGACTCCCGTTAAATTGCGAAATACGAGGGCAACGCGTCATGTCCTCGGGAAACTATTCAGTGATCTTTCTCTCAGACATAACAGATTGTGGGCGAACGGGCCACCTTTCGGCTGGAAGGGTTAACAACAAATGCGCTTTGTGCGTGGCCTTTGATGGCACGGACGGGTGAGAAATGCTGGCGAGAAACCTTTTACCTATGTCTCAGTAGAGTATAGGCATTGACCCGATTAAACGCATCTGGAAAATAAGGCGCAGACATGATCGGGCAGGCTGAGCACAGTTGGCGCGTTATATAACTCTGTTTTTCGAAAGATTTAACGAGTTTCCTAAACAGCGAATTCACCAAAGCAGGTTGGCTCGAGTGAATGAGTTGAATATTTTACCCGGAAGAATACATGAGGCGAAAGTCGTAGCGTACACAAAACCGACCAATGAGTTACACTTAACACGTCAACATCTTCAGGGTAGCTTAAGTAACCTACCCGTCGCTTATAAGGGTGTTTAAGCATAACTCGTGCCAAGTTGCTGCACGCTACTCCTATCAAACCAACGGAGTATTGTTCTCCGTCCTATCGAGCAAGTCAAGATATTTTTGAGATCTGTTAAACTGGATAATTAACGTATATTATTACCTAACTATTGAAATATTAAAATACGCACAAGTGCTCTAATATGAAAAAAGTTGTGGAGCGTGCTGAGAAACATTTCCTCTTCTCATTTCCATCAAGGTAGCCTTCGTGTTTCTAATATCTTTTTTGAGCCCTAAGGAATGCGCGAAAGATTTAACAAACATCTCACGTGACTAAGGGCACTATACCATTGCAGTTGGTTAACAAGAAGTCACGTGCAATTTCTGTTTAAATCTCGCGTGCAATTTTTGTGTTCAAAAGAGATTTAGACACACGCAGGACTCCTTGATGAAAATGACACTATGGGATGTTGTTTTTTTTCGACACGCTCTCCATCTTCTGTTTGTTGAGTGTTTGGGCACAAATTGTGGTGTGCACCAGATCGTTTCAAGCGTCGGAACAACTTAGCTGAAACACCCTACAATAGGGCTGCGAAGTATATGTCGTACTGATACTAAAATGCGGCGTGTTACTTACTCGAATGGTAGAGTAATCAGCCTGTTCCCCATTTATGGCAGTCAATACTCATTTTGTTCGATGTCAACGCATTTGATCGAAGCGTGGGATTGCACTGTGTGAAAAAGGATAACTTTTTCATGGTAGTAATGACCAAAATGGGGAGGGGGGGGGCTCCCAACACCGTTTCAAGAAGGCCTGCCACAATGATTCTACTTGTTGACGATTAAACCATGCACATTGTGAAGTGTCTCCATTATTTTATTGCTCACTCTTCTACAGTAAAAGTACTTCAAAGAAGTTGAAATTAACCCGGCCATCAAGGAGAACGTTCCCCAGGTGCCCTTATGTAATACAATGCAGAAATAACCGTAAATATTAAAAGAAACGTCTCAGAACTAATATCAGAACCAAATGCATCGCCCAAAATAGACAGGCCCATGCCCGCGTAACAAAGAAGAAACTATACCACGCGCTGCGCCTTCAAAGCGTGTCTGCGTCCATCACGGATAGGACTTATATCCATTGTATGCAAATCTGTGTGCAGACTGAATCAGAGATAATATCAGGGAGAATGCTCCGTACGCGTCCATCAACTAAGGTATTTTTTTCTCCACAATGCACGTTGAAACCTGCTTTCTAGAGACGCAAACGAGGTCGTGACTTGTACACACCACGAAACTGCGTCGGATACATTTATAGCATCCCATCCAATTGCGAACCGTCGTACAGTTTCGAGATCAGGATCAGGATGAAGAGGAAACACACCGATGTCTGATGGTACGTCTGTTTTTACCGACTTTAGAAACTTGTACGGCCCTCGACAGATTTAATACACTGCGCTCTAGTATTAGACAGTAAGTATTTATTTGACAAACCTTTTCGCTAACATCCTGAGGTCATGATGCTGGAGCAATTGGTTTCATGTGTCTGCAGAACTCGAGTTTCCGGAGTGAGTAAAAATATTGATATATTTTTTATTTATTTATTTATAGCTTAAACTTGGCTTGCTTGGAAGCAGACTTTATAACAAAAGCGAACCACGCGCTTCACTCCGTTCAGTCCTAAGCCGACAGTGCTGTAAGGGCTGCATAGTACCCGGACCAATCAATAGCCTCCCTTTCATCACCAGACACCGCTCTTAAGCGCTTTGGGTAAGAACGTGATCACGTGATGAAGGGACGACGTATGGTTGGGCCGACGAGCACGTAGCTTCCATCGCACTGTCAGCTTAAATGGAAGGGGAAAGGCGGGTCAAGCGATTCCCGCTGATCCGGGACGCCATCTCCTCAGAAGACCGACTCGTCTCGGCTCGGCTTGTTGCTCGGCCTGTCTGGCTTTGGCTTCAGGGTAGAAGGAGCGACGTGCAAGACGTGTCTTGGACTCACCGTGCGCAACCCAGCCGTGTTGACAGGAGCTACAGACGCGATGTCCCGCTTTGCTGGGCGTGAAGCACTCGCAGCCGCATCCGGGTTTTGTGCACCGGATCGCCTGCACACACGAGAGGGAAGGGGAAGACACAGCGTCAGGTGTAGCTCGAGCCGCTCGAGGATATGCATGGAGAGAGATGAACAGCCGCGAGGTGAAAGGGCCGATCCTCGAGTCGAAAAATAGGGGTATACTTGTTTCAGACAAGAATCTGGACTCGGGGGCTTTCGATTTTTCATTACAGTTTCCTCCCCCTCCTCAGAGCAAAATATTTATATTGCGACAGTGACGTAGATGGAAATTAATTTCGGGGGGTGTTTTGCGTTTCTAGTAAGGTTGGAAAGGTAGGTGGAGGAAGAGAAGAAATGAGATAACGTTAAATTTCTCTTTCTATTACACCTATACATATGAACTAGCGTTAACAATACTGCACAATTAACTGCTATAAAATCACTTTACTGCATTACTGACAAGAAGACATTAGCAAACTTTAATTGTACAGTTTTCATTGCTAATACAAATCGACGTGAGAGATGCTGGCTTAACCATAGGTTCACCAAAGCAGCAAAGAATGTCTTCTTAATAACCGGCGTTGTCTGCATTTTAATTCTCTGTTTCAATTTCTGCATCTACTACCTGTTGTTTGTTTTTATGTTTTCCACCACTCCCTTCTGTAACGCCCCCTGGGCCTTGAAGGTACTGAAATAAATAAACAAATAAATGTCGCGTCAGAGGCAAGGGAGAACAGCGTGATTTTACTATACGCTGTTCTCTCGCGAGGGTTTCAATAGGTTCGAGAAACACGTCCGTGACGTGCGGGACACGACAACAAATATACGCCCAGGGAGTTTTCCCACTTTTTGGAAAAGAAACCTACTGACTGGAGGCATGAAACGATGACTTTCACTATCAGCGCACGCGCAGATGCACTTATCGTTTGCCGCACGACGGAAGGCTACATGCGCGCGCTGGAGGCGAGACGTTCTGCCGCCGCAAATCACATATGTTGCAACAAACGATATAAAGAAACACTATAGTGTGCCCAAACTTCAGAGTGTTAGCAAGTGCTCGGTCCGGGCAACGTGGTTTACAGGTCGCGTTCGCAATATACGAGCAGCTGCGCGTAAGTGCGGTCAGAGTCAATCGTCCGCAAGCGTCTCGAAGCTTTCCTCCGCCCCTCCGCCTGCTCTCCGCCTTGCCGCTCGACAACGCACGCATGTGCACACGCACGCCACGTGCGTAGGAGGCATCTACCATGAAATTCAAGCGACCGCTGTGATTTGAGTTGCATCTCCTTTCGAATCTTGGCTCTCTAAAACGGCAGTCATTCTTCTCACATCTCGTATAGAAGGCACGAAGTTCGCTGCGGACACGATGTCCAAATTATTTGCGGACATACTTGGAGCCGATGTGATGAGACCGTCATGCGGAGAAGAAACACTTTTTCACATACTGTCTGTAGGCTGAGACTGTCTTTTCAGTGATGCTAAGCAGCGTGACTGTGGCTTACAAAAGGCACGCGATCGCGCTGACCTTACGTCGAAAAGCGGCGCACCTATCGACCCTTCGTGGCGGTTTCCTCCCAAAGCCCGGCAGCGAGCTCCGCGAAGACCGCGAGCCCCTCGGGAGCCGGCCCAGGGCGGTAAGCAATTTGACCCCCCCGGTGGTCGGGCGACCGGTCACTTCTCGACCGACAGCCTAACCCCGCGCAGAGGGAGGGGGCCTCTCCATCAGCGGGCTCCGGTCCCTTGGGCGCCCTAGAGACGAGCCTGCTTCCGAGCCGCTCGTTATTTCCAGGGAGGGGGCAGGGGATGACTGGTTAACGCGGCGGTGCTGCTGGGCCGAAGGGGCTGAGGCGACGAGACGCCTTTATGGCTTTATAAGGCCTCGTAAAGGGCCGCGGCCCCGTGCGCGATGGGTTAGAGCCCCGGATAGGTCCGCGGCCACGGGATGCCGCCGCCGCGGATGGGACACTTGGCCGCGGAAGCGCCGCGGAGTTTCTGGTCGTCGCGCGCGGGGTTCGGTCGCGTGTACGGCGTGCAAGTTCGTCCGCTCTTCGCGCACCTTGCGCGTTGGTTTACGCTCCAGATGCGCCTATGTGCTTTTATTTACCTTCGACCGTAACCAATGACGGCGCGCGCTTCACTGCTTCGTCACCGCGCATTTCCTGCGCATTCTCTGCTCTGCCCTTAGTGTGGTGATCCTCTCCTTGCACTCCGATGCGCCAAAGAGGCATTTTGGAAGACTTCCCCGCCGTATAGCCTTCAACCACTCTGCGTGTGACAAAAGACGATGAGTGGATATGGTGAACGCACGCGGTTTTTGCGGCGGCGAATGGTCAAGCCAGTGTTGGCGATAACGCCTTACAAGTAACGGAGTTACAGGTAACGCGTTACTTGTTTCCAGTAACGTACTCGTTACATTTTGAAAACAGAAACGGGTAACGTACTTACATTATCTATTTCAAGTAACGGATAACGTAGCTAAGTTAGTCGTTACTTTGCTTCCAACGACTTTAAGGAATTACACTTACATTTTTTCGTGTTTGTTGGGGCCAAGCCATATAAGTTTTTTACGTTTTTCTTTGCTTTTTTGTTTGCTAAATATTTATATAAAACCGTAAAAAGAAAATGTTTTTGGACAGTGTCGTAGATAGGCCATCCGGCACCCGAAGCGTTTATGTCTTTCGTAGCTACCCCCCCCCCCCCCCCTTCCCCTTCCATTCACTCCCCGAGATCGCAACCATCCAGTAAAGCGGGGGCGAGGTGCCAGGGCTGCTGTCACGTGGGGTGGCACCACCCCACGTGACTGGGACACCTGGCACCCGGGGCCCGGGGCCCTTCCCCCCCCCCCCCCCCCCCCCCCCCCCCCGTTGCTGAGCCACTGTTTCTGAACGGACATAATATTTTTTTAAATAATGACGCTCATTCATATCTGTAACGTCCAAGACTAAAACGTGTTCATTCATAACATAAAAAAAGTAACGCCAAAAAAAAAGAAAAACGCGCGTTACTTTTTAAAGGTACCGATGACGGTAACGCGTTCGTTCTGTTTCGAGCTAACGTAGGTCGATAACGCGTTCCCTGTATTTGCGAGTAACGAGTAACGTATTTCGTTACTTTTCTTCGATACCTCCTGCCACACTGGGTGAAGCCTGAACTTGATAAATGTCTGAGTATAACCATACTTATTTTCACTCGTAGATCTGACCTGAGCCGACATCTAAATCTAACGGAGGCAATCGAGGGGCGGCAAAAAGTGTTATCTCGAAGGCGCTCGTCGTCCTTGTGCGTTGTCTATCATAAACTAAATCAATCACGAGCAGAAAACCAAAAGCAGGATTAAGGGGCATTTACTAGGCATGATTGGCTCGGACAAGGGACAGAAAATACATATATAAACACCCTACGGGCTCCGTAACGATGCATGTTTGGCGCCGTTTGTTTGGCTACTCCGGATCGTACAGATCAATTCAACTAACTGACGTCACGCCTGCTGTCGGTACCGCGCATGCGCAGACGCTTCACTTTTCCCGAATTGGGAGGAGTGAATCGGGAAAGCGGGCTTGTTTGGAAACACTGGGTTGGTGCATAACGACGGCTGCGGTCCGACCTATAATCTGAAACGGAGATATAAACAATACACCTTTCCAGCGCAATGTCCAGTCCCCATATATACTACGAACGCGTGCGCGCGGCATCTGATATTCCGCAGGAGAGAGCTACTGCTCATCTTCATATCGTGTTCTACAGGCAAGTCGACGCAGGTGGCAGCGCGAAGAAGGCTATTATTCGAGTGGTCTATACAAAAAGTCGACCTGGAGATGGGACGGAGAAAAAGGGTGACACCTTCTACCTTTCCCGATTGCTGGATCCCTATAGTCGAGTGCGCCAAACCCAAGTATACTATCCGATGAGCACTCGCGTAAGGGGCCCTTTCTGCCATCGTAGATTGTCTTATTTTCAGAAGTCATTTCTCCATAAACCTCCTTCCTCTCCCAGAGAAGAGTGCAAAGAGTGAAGAGAAGAAAATGTTTAGTAAGCCCCGCGGACAAAAAAAAAGTATGTTTTGCAGGTCGGTCTTTCAGATGCTCTTTTGCCAAGTTGGAGTTCAACCTGCATTTAAATAATGTTACGACGTTGTCTGACGTCCCTAGGACACGTTGGAAAGGTTTTTGCAGGGTGTGTATGGTTTAGTTGATTATGCGTTGCGTTATGCCCTACGAACACTTCACAACTTTGCGATCGTTCGCCACAGTTTTGTGCACGCACTGGTCTCTCCTTTGATTCCAGGGTCCATTTTAAGTAGCTTTTTGTTTTTTATCATCATCAATTAATCACGTTCTACTTAAAACTAAGCCGACAGATTTGCATGTTTCTGTGGTTGTGTGAGAGAAAGACAGAACCTTTCGCGCAAACCCTAACAGGCTTTTTTGGTCGTTGCTTTTTGTTTTAGTAGTGTCCCTTTTTCTTTAAATTTTCTTTCGGGGCAATACGAGACGACGTTACCAATATCAGCTGGGATCATGGAAGGGGCTGGGGAATAGGTGAGAGCATCCCACAATCCCTGTTTACGCGCCTGGCGTCCCATAGCGACACCCAACAGGTCACGACATTCAAGTTGTTCGCGCGGACAACTCCGCTAATGAAAGACTTTTTTCCCCCCTATACTCGAAATCCCCATCCCCTTCGAGAGGACGGCGGCCGGGGCTCAGGGCCGCCGTCCCAAGATTGAGCCTCCGGGATTGTGCCCGCGGCCGGGCAGGATCCAGCCAACAGCCCCGGAGGGTGCCATACAGACCGCAGTCACCCCTTTCCGTCCCCGAGATAGGACTCGCTCTTTGTACCTTCGTGCGCTTCTTTCTGCGGGGGGAGCGTTGGGCCCTAACCCCACCCACACCCCTCCATCTGATCGATGTCGCGGTTCCACGTAAATGACCGGTCGGTGGCCCGTTCTTTCGCCGAGCCGACGTGTAATCATGGCCTCGCAGCACCGTGCCGTGTCGCCCTCCTCGAAGCACGCGGCCCTCGGTCGGTCCTTATGTACACTCCGTTTTTTTCGCC